AATCCTAAATAAAAAAAATATTGAACGACAAAATAGAAATAAAAGGCGGAAATCGTCGGATCAAATTTTTACTACGATTTTTGTCTTCAGTACCCCTGAAAAACCATGGAAAGGTATATTTAACGACAAAACAGCAAATAAATGGCCTGGTTGCTATGAGATTTTGTTTTGGTACATACCAAATCTTTGACTTGCTTTTTCTCAAAACTTACTTTTGTGAGTTGGGTAGCTTCGAATGGAAATGAAATGAAATGGGGTTTAACGTCCTACTCCTATACTGGGCTAATGAAGACGGGCATATGCCATACAGTGTGTTATAAGGGAAATTTTCCCCGGGCAGCGGCACTATCGCCTACTCTTATATCGAATTCCAACTGCCAAGGGATCTTTTACGTGCATTCCAATGTTTACACAGGACCTCAGTTTTTCGTATCATCCGAAGGACTAGACAGCTGTCCTTGTCAGGCCCTCCATCCTGCATCACTGACAAGGGGAAACCATGTCGGAAAATCGGGATGAACTTTCTTGGCCAATGCAGGGATCGAACACCCGACCTCCAGGCTAGCGAGCCAGCGCCTTACCCACCTAGCCACCGCGGCTCCCAGCTTCAAATGGACAGAGCTCAGTCAATTTTTGCCCGTTTCAAACAGACCATACATCAAATTGAAGGTAATGAGTTGGAGAATGTAAAAATAACAATAACTCAATTTTTAAAATTTTCTCACTACGACTCAGTATGCCATGGGGGGTCACATATATATTTTACCAGCAGAGAATATGTTGGATAAATTACCAACCTCATCTACTGATATAAACAATACTGACACATCATCTATCCTTGAGGAACTGAATCCAACAAAAACTTTGTATAATTAATCCCAAAAAGTTCTGGATGGGGAATAAATTCTACTTTAGACTGTGATATTAGAGTGACAGAGATGATATTTTGTTATAAACATTCCTCATTTTTGCACTATATGGTTTTAATTTGTGTTTTTATGTTCACATTTTTATGTAAACTAAATGTTTATCTGTATAAATACTGTCTATTTTTTTTTTAAAACTTTTATGTTGTTAATAACTGCCCTCTCTTCAGTAATTTGTAACCAGCGGCTGCCAGACAGGATACGCCCACATTTTGCAAGAAGAGATGGATAGAGAACACGCTAAAAACTGCGATTTTTTTGTACAATCAGGAGCAATAATCCAAAAAGTTATGGCCTGAAATGTGCAAATATCAAAAGTGACTAAGATCTTTGGGATATAAAGATATGTTTTAAGTTTCATCAAAATCGGATAAAAATTGTGACCTCTAGAGTCTCCACAACGTTCGTATTACACACTTCTACACAATTTGCATACAAAGAGCGGCCATTTTGTCGGGCCGTTTCATTTTGATTTTCCCGAAATACGACTTAACCGTCATTATGGTGGAATGGTGATGTATTTAAACGGTTTTTAAAATCGGAAAAAAATTGTAACCTCTAGAGAATCCGCAAGCTAAAAATGCGATTTTTCGAACTATCAGGGGCCATAATACAGGAAGTTAAGTTTGGATATCCGCGATTATCAAAAGGAACCAACCAATTAGTGTGTAATGGTGATATATTCACACGTTTTTTTTTTTAAATCGGATAAAAATTGTAACCTCTAAAGGGACCACAAGCCATGTGGTTTTGATAAACACTTCAAAATCAATTCATCGACAATATTTTGATCATATTTGTAAACTAGAGATTCTCCGCTTTACAACGATGCCAATTATCATGCAAGAGGAATGACCGGTCGTCCCGCTGTGAGCGAAGAAAAATGACTAATTTTTCCTGAGAATTTTAAGAAATAGGACAGATTTAAGAATACGGTTCTCTTACAAAACGTTCAAATACAGGTGTTCTAAAATCTTTTATTGCTATTTTGATCTTTTGTGTCGATAGATATTATATTTATAGACTCATTTTTGTGAAAATCTCAATTTCGATCAAAATCAATATTTTCACTTATTTTGTCTCTAGTCCAAAATTAAATTTTGCGCATTCCGACTCAATTTGACGTGGGCGGTCACATATTTTAAAATCTTTGTTCATTATTTACCTTCAAACAAGATTTTGTGATTTTTGGTAAATTCTTTGAATACATCCACAACAAGTTTTAAAATACAACAATACACATGTAAAACGTAAACTTCAGTGCACTACTCCGCTGCTCTCAAAATGATGTCTTAAGAGGGAATTCCTTCTGACGTCATATATAGATAAACATCAATGGTCCAGTGTGAAACTGTTGCTGAAGGCAGACATGATTGTACTGCGGATGATGTGACCGATGTGTACGACGTCATAATTCATTCAAGAACTGATCTAGGTCAGGGGAAACCTTGATAGTTTATTTCTCACCGCTTGTATCCCCATTATTACACAACAAACCGGTCAGACTTTTATGTTTCCTCTGGTTTATATTTCACATGGAATAAGTATACAAAGTCTTACTAAGGTTGGCGTTGAAAAGTAAGTGTGTATCTTATACTTCTTAACGCCCTTTTAAGAAGAAATGTAGAATTCAGATAGTATTGCTTGGAACTTCAAAACTTGGGTTGTTCAAATTTCTCTTTTTTGGCTAAATATCAGCAGACATTTAGCCAACACAGCCATTTTGTCTTGAAAGGAGAGTGGTACGTACACTTGATGCAGTGTTGAGATTTCAAAATTTTTCTTGACAGATATTTTTACCAAAAATAAAGGTGCATAACTCTTATCGTTGATTAAGCAGGCGATTTCAGACCACAATTAAAAATCATTTGTCAACAAAATATTCAAATTCATCCAGGCAATGAAACATACGCCCACATCAGCTAAATCGTTTGGGCAGTTTACTTTTGTCGGTAATGAAACATTTATAATACACTAAAATCTGATTAATAGAAACAACTCATTAAGTAATTATCAGAAAATCATGAGAATTTGTTTGGCCATGCTAACGACGCTAACGTTAAGTATACAAAACATATAATATCATGGATTTAGCTGTTCAAGTTATCAAAAATCATTGAAAATCAATACACTTGTTCGTCTCAAGACCTTAAATTCTGGTATCAATCTAAAGTCAATCGAAACGATTACATATAGGCATAAACATGGTGTAAAAATATAAAATAAATTAGATGATAACTATGGTCTTTAAAACATCCACAAGATTTTTCAAAGTGATCAAGGGCCATAACTCTGGTAGTAATTATCGGAAATCGCTGAAAATCAATAGGCTTCTTCGCCTCATGGTCTTAACCACTGTGTATAAATTTAAAGTCAATCAGGTATTACCTTTAGCCTTGAGAGTGTCCACAAGGTTTTTCAATGTGATCAAGGGCCATAACTCTGACAGTAATTATCGGAAATAGCTGAAAATAAATAGGCTTCTTTGCCTAATGACCTTAAAAACTGTGTATAAATTTAAAGTCAATCGGATATTAACTTTAGCCTCTAGAGCGTCCACAAGCAATTGTGGACGCCGGACCGACAAGAGGCGATAACAACAATTTACGACCACATTTCAATGTGGGCGCATAAAAATAGGTGCAACTCGTTATTTTTCATATTTAATTCCCGTTTGGTATTCAAATTTATGTCATTAATATTCTTACAAAATTACGTGTTGTCGTAATACGATAGAATGAAAGCGTGCCGACCCGTACCTGTTTCAAATTTCTCCAAAATTACCATATTTTTCAGGTATAAGTCGATACATTTTTCAGTAGAAGTCCGGCATTCGTCTTATACTGCGTTTTGACTTATATACGGAAGGTAAAAAAATAACATCCCAGAATTTATTTGGCAGTAGCCGTCGGTCTACCACGACGAGTGAGTTACATCATCTCCTAAATAACCACATTCGAATGTAGCACGCGCTATCCTCTAAAACAATTAACTACTTACACTATTCAAATCAAAATATTCGTCAACATTTCTTAGCGTGTTTATTTACAAACATAAACCCCTTCAAAATATGATCATAAATCAGAGAATATGCCATCAATATAGAATCTTTTCTCTTGACATTAGATGTGTGGAATTTGTCACGTTACCATTTCAACTGCCGAAGGATCTTTTATGTGCATGTCAATGTGTACATGGGTCCATGTACACATACCACTAGATCATCCCAATCCCCCTTGCGCCCTTATCAAAGATAGTTTGCCATCAGTAGCGGATTATCAGTGAGGCTGATGAGGCTGCAGCCTCAGGCCCAAAGATTTTGTAAAAAAAAATTTTTTTAGACTTGTCTGATACGATTAAAAACGCATAGATAATGAATGTTAGGGGGGTGGGGTTTAGGCCCAACGGGAATCAACATAGGCCCTGACCCGAAATTAGTAAGGCCCACGCCATTTTAAATAGGAGATCTGATCTTATTTTTTCAACGTAGGTCTACAATGTACGTTAAATCCTTGTAAGTTTTCGGTTATGTCTTGCTTAATATATTGTATCCACGTGACGTCATTTATGGGCATATAAAGTTACATTACCAATATCAAACGACTTTGGCTTAGTATAGTCTAAGACGTCATACTAGTTATGACGCGATTGTAGGCCCCTGGATAACCTCAGTAACGAATCCCGTTTTTAATGTTAGCAACTACCTTGGCTCTAACTTTAAAAACTAAATAGGCCCTCCAGCAACTGCCGCCTCAGGCCTTGGTGGAGCTTAATCCGCCACTGTTTGCCATATATACACCCACAGCAGTTAAGTCGTTTGAGCAGTTAATAAGGGTTGTCGCATATTTATTGTTTTGTACGTAATAGGAATATTTAAAAGACACAAAAACTGATCAAGAGAAACAACCCATTAATTTATTAAGTAATTAGCCTCTAGATACTATCCACAAGATTTTACAAAGTGATCAAAGGCCATAACACCACAAGCAGTTATCGGAAATCGATGTGGGTATATAAAAGTTAGAATATTCACAAGAAATAGTGAAGATAACATATTAAATAAATATCACTCACTGATCTATCACATACAGTTGGGATAAAGTCATAACCAATTCCTTCCACTTCATAGAAACTTTTGTCGGTCTTATTTATTTCTTCAGGTTCCGCTATTACAGAACCTTCGGGGTCTACACCAATTATCTTAAAAATATATATACAAATCAAATATATAAAATAAATTAAAAATTCATAATAGTACCTTAGTTCTTTAATGTCAGCTTTCATAAAAGTGATATTGCAGACAAGACGTCAGCAAGCTGAAGCTTCCCTCTGTAGTATTACCACCACTTCCTCAATAACTAATAAGTCTGGAATAGTTCTTGTGATTACTGGAACTTATATATTACATGACAAATGAACTAATGACTTGCCTATGGATGTTGTTGTTGTTTATTACAATTTTAACGTCCAATACATATTACATGATATTACGGACAGATTGAATAAGCTCACATTTTGCCATTAAAACATATGCCATACGTCATGATGAACATAATAATTAAACTAAGCAATAATTAAAGGATTAAATACTTAATTAACAAGGTTAACTCCTGATTAACATTTATTGTTATATAATGCTGTCTCCTTTGTAATGTGTCGACCTCATAATAATAATAATATTTGTAAAGCGCAGCTATTCAATAGCCCTAGGGAATGCGAAAATGAAATGGGATTTAACATCCTACTGCTCCGAACTAGGCTAATAAAGACAGGCATACGCCATACAGTTTGCTATTAGGGAAATTTTGTCCAGACAGCGGCACTACGGCTTACTCTTATATCGAATTCCAACTATCAAGGGATCTTTTATGTGCATGCCAATAAGTGTACACAGGACCTCGGTTTTTCACCCCATCATAACAACTAGACACCTGTCCTTGTCAGGCCCTCTATCCTGCATCACTGACAAGGGGGAACAACGCCGGAAAATCTGGATGAACTTTCTTGACCAATGCAGGGATCAAACACCCGACCTCCAGGCTAGCGAGCCAGCATCTTACCCATTCAGCCACCGTGACCGCCCCCCACCCACTCCCTAGGGAATGCTCTAGGCACTAGAAAATGCTCTCACTTAGGATTGTAACTGACTATATATACTCTTCAAAAGATAGGTTGCAAGGCAACGAAACATACGCCCACAGCAGCTAAATCGTCGCATATTTTTACTTCTTTCGGTAATGAAACATTTATAATACACTAAAATCTGATTAAGAGTAACAACTCATTAAGTAATTATCAGAAAACCATTAGAATTTCTTTGTTTTTTATAAAGTTCTGCCCCATGCTAACGTTTAGTATACAAAACTTTTAACATCATGGATTTAGCTGTTCCAGTCATAAAAATTCATTGAAAATCAATATATTTGTTCGTCTCAAGCTCTTAAACTCTGTGTATCAATCTGAAGTCAATCGGATGATAACTTTAGCCTCTAGAGCGTCACAAGATTTTTCAAAGTGATCAAGGGCCATAACTGTGACAGTAATTATCGAAAATCACTGAAAATGAATAGACTTCTTTGTCTCATGTCTCGGACGGGGGCGACGATAATATACGACCACATTTCAATGTGGGCGTATAAAAAAGTAGGGGATATTCAGAAACAATACAAAATTGAGAAAATGCACTGCTGTTTTTATTAGAGGTAACCAGTGTATGTTAGTAACAGGCCAATTGCCTACACATGAACATAAACAGTTAATATGGGCGGCTTATCTAATAGCCCCATTTCACTTGCAAAGAGATACACTGTCAAAAGTGAAAATAGACATTTTTGATTTTTGTCTTAACAATGAGTAATTGCTCCACCAATCCTCAGACATTCAGCAATTCGTCGTGGCATGCTCCTAATCAACCGTCCAATCACGATTTGGGGAAATCTGACCCACTGCTCTTGCAGTGCCACGGCCAATTCTTGCAGCGTTGACAGTTGACGTCGACGAACACATCTTCCGATCATGTCCCAGACATGCTCTATAATAGAGGAAAGGTTATGACTCATGCACGTGGGGTCAACGAAATGATCCCTTATAGAAAGCCCTGCCAATGTCCTAATCAGAAACATATAACATGTGGTTTTTCTAAGACTATTAAAATGGGTCTGTCTGTCTGTCCGTCTATCTGTCCGTCCGTCCGTCCGTCACACATTTTGTACTTAGGTTAAGCTGAGATAAGCAATTTGATTGGTCGAGACTTTGGAACACAATAACGCTCATTCTAATTGAGTTAGAATGTTCAACTTGGCGTAGGTGTTTATTAGGTGAATGCCTTGATGGAGTTTGAAGATGAGAATTTTCTGCTTAGGCTAAGCAGAGATAAGCAATTTGATTGGTTGATGCTTTCGGACAACATAACTTTAGTTCTAATTAAGTGAGAGTGAGGACACTTGGTGTATAGCTTTATTACATTAATACCTTGACTAAGTTCGATAATGAACATTTTCTGCTGTCATGTCATGCTGATTTCATCAAAACACAAAAGAAATCAGATAAACCTAACTTTATCACTCCATGGAGAGAAAATTGAGCCGTTTACTACAGCAAAATTACTTGGAATTCAAATTGACCTTAATTGGGAAGCACAGACAGCAGATATGTCTAAAAAACATGCATCAAAAGTACTTCTCCTAAATAAGATAAAAGATCATTTACCTTACATACATTTCAAGTTTCATCAAAATCGGATGAAAATTGTGACCTCTCCATTGTCCACAAGCTAAAAACATGATTTTTCATAAAATCAGGGGTCATAATCCATGAAGTTACGGTCCGATACAAGCTAATTTTGACAGGAACCAAGATCTTTGGGAGATAAAGACTTATATTTCAAATTACATCAAAATTGGATAAAAATTGTGACCTGGTGAGTGACCACAAACAAATTGTGGACGAACAGGGTCGACGACAATATACGTCCACATGAAAATGTGGGTGTATAAAAATTAGACTACTAGACATTTCTAGTAGAATCTGTTCTTTTTCTACTGAATTGTAAGTGGTTCTTTTACAAAGGGAAGTAACTGCACCTAGTAGAAGGTTAGCTAGTTTCAGAAGCTCATTATGAGGAGTAAATTGTGCTTCATTCAAAGATTTGTTGAGATAGGAAAGTGCTCATAAAACTTACCTTGCAGTTGGGGCATTTCTCCTTTAATTTCCGTGCTATACCAGTGAGTGTACCACCTGTGCCAGCTGATAGAACCATCATATCCAGTCTATCTATCATTGAGATAAGTATACATTTGTAAACACATGCATTAAAATCCAGTCTTAAAATCGAGGACAAGACATTATCTAAAGACACCTCTAATCCAATTAGATATTATCTCATAAAATCGGAAGCTAGTTAACTTGTCAACTTTAGACTCGTCCACAATTTAGTCATCCACAAGCATTGATTGACTTGCTGCATGGTACTGGTTTTGTCCTCCACAATTATGGGTTGACTCGTACACACATGTTAATTCAGGGATATTTCAAATTTTTGCTTGTGGGACATTATTAATCAGGGTTAATAACGGCCATAATTTGGTCACCAGAATATTAATAGCTTCAGGAAATAGGGTCAATATATTATTATTAAGCTTTCATATGTATTACATATGAAAGCTTATTGTTTCTGTTAAGATTATTATTATTATTATTATTATTTTTTTTTTTGTGTTTTTCCTGCAAATCTTATATCTCAGAATCTAATCGTGGGATCTTTCTGAAACTTTGACCTACCCCCCCAAGAATGGTTGGTGGGTTTGGAATAGGTATGTTTTCAAAACATTTTACACATCCGAAATCACCAAATTTTACGAACGAATGCATTTGACCTACATTGCTGTAACTTTGTGACTTTTTGACCTATTTTACTAAAAAAAAATTCCTTGAGTACCTTGAATCATTTACTTCAAATCTGCTATTTCGGATTTTCGAATTTCAAAAATTCGTCACTGTGAGTTCAAACCGGAAGTTAAAATCAACTTGACAACTTCTTTAATAGTTGCACGATTTTCATGAAATTCAGTATGTAAGTAGATCTTACCGATACAATTTGAAAAATGTCATTAGAAATTTTCTGTATTATCTCCCCTTGATGCAATTAAGGATCAAAGTTTTAAAAAAAATCGACGAAATATAGGTCCGATTGCCTTGAAATTGTATTTCTTTACTAGTTACGACACTACTGATTTGTACACAAAAAATGGAGTTTGTAGCCCAAACCGGAAGTGCTTGAAATGTGAAATATCGCTAAGGCTTTTTTGATATTTTACTTACAGACAAGGGGATTATATTTTCCAAATCCTTGAAGGAAAGCCCATAAAATGTAGGCAGTAGAATTTTGATTTAGGTCAACTGATGGACGCCATTTTGAATTGAAAATGAAAAATAGTGAAAAATCCACATTAATGGGCTTGAAAACATACACAATTGGTCGTGACTTAGAGAATGCGTCTCCTATTACCGAAATTATTACAATTCAGGATAGCCTGGATCATGGTCGAATGTTTGGTATTTGAATATTTCAAAAATTCGAATTTCTCCTTTGATGTTTCCCGTGCCGACAAGGTTGTTTTCGAGTTTAGCTGGTTTTGATTTTGTGCATGCGCTACACAGGAACCAACGGTACCATGAGTACTAAATTCCAGCGAGCAACTTTTCACGTTGGTACCTAGGTACCCTGTAAATTTCAAGGTGATACCTGCATTTGTTCAAGTCGTTTGTTCTTGTCACCTGCCTTTCGTCGTTTTTTTTCTAAGTCAATTTACGGAGGGGAAAAAAGTGGAATTTCGCTGTGACACCGGCACCGATTGTCCGAAAACCATGAAATTTGGACACAATACGCCCATTACCACCCCGGACTTTGTGCTTTGATCCCATTAAAAAAAAAAGAGTTTTAGCAAAAAAACAATTTTCGGAATTTAATATTGGTTTTAACCCTGTCATACCCAGACATGATATACATATTATTATAATCCCTATGAAATATTTTAATTATTTACTGCTATAATATGAATTATCACTTATTCCCCCTTTAAATAAATATCGGTCACCGGGTGCAGCTGTACAACTTCAAGGACCCTGGCCTCAAGTGCATGGGACCAACTCTACATTTTCTGAAATGTCAATAAAAGCCCTGGAATGATTTCATTTAAAAAAAATAATCAGAAAGTAAATCTATTTTTATTTATATTCTATTTGTTGCCAGAAAATATATTTTGTTACTAGTCTAATTCAAATTTAAAAATAAACAATATTTTTTCTGAAAATCAATGTCGAAATTTAGTGTATCATATATGATATAATGGGTCTGAGGCATATTTTATTGATATATAGAAATTAATGCAGTGTTCTCATTATGTGTTAAAAGAGTGCCAGAAATGTCTCGAAATTCGGCCATTTGTGTATTTAGTATATCAAGTATATGCGTGTATTACAAAGCTCTGATTTGTGTGATTTGTGTACACCCCGCTCCCCCCCCCCTCCTCCTCGTGTCACTATCATGTACATATCAATTCTGCTGCCAACCCACCCACGCGAACATGACTAAATTATGAAACATTGTCTAGTCGTTTGTATGTTACGACAAAACGAGGCCAGCGTGGCTCATTTGTGCAGAACAGAAGGCCTTGCAAGGATTAGTGTCTAGTCGTTCGGATGGTACGAAAACCCGATGTCAAAGTGGTTCCCTGTTGGCAGTGGTGAAGTATGGAAGGCCTAGCAAGGATCTGTGTCTAGTCGTTTCGATGGGATGAAAAACGCCCGTCCCCTCGTCCATGGTACAAGGATTAGTGCCTAGTCGCTTGGATGGTATGCAAAACAGAGGTCCCCGTTCTCTCCCTTTGTCCGTGGTTCTTGACCGAAGGCCCGCTTTCCGTGCAGTTTTTTGGGTAGGACGAAAAATCGAAATCCTGTGTGCATATTGGCGTGCACGAAAAATAACCCTTTGCATTTGGAATTTTATGCACCCACCCCACCCTCGAACAACGCTTAACATAACATTTTGTTTTCACTACCTACATTGTAAAATTTGTTTGATTTCAGATGACTTAGCCCCGGTTTTTCACAGTGAAAGATTTTGATGAAACTTGACATGCATGTTTATAACCCAAAGATATGGTTCCTTTCGATATTTGCGCATATCGAATCGTAACTTCATGAATTATGGTCCCTGATTGTAAGAAAAATCACTTTATATTTCGCGTGTTCTCTATCTATCTCTCGGAAATGGAATATGGAAATACACAAGCTAGCTAGTGTGTTACAGGGTGGTGGTGGTGAGGATGAGGTCTTCTATTAGCAATGATTTTTGACTACAAAATATACGCTCTAACTCATTACTCAAACTACAGCAAAAAAACGGTACCGTAAACCCCATTTTATATATTCTTACAATAGCAACGCACTTCGAGTTTAACTTAGAAATGGTTCCACTACTGATGTCTTCCGCCTTACTCCTGCCACAGTAGTGGCTTGTCCTACGGAGTTCCTTTCCGCAAGTTTTTTTTTAGTCAAATGACTACAAAAAGGTTACTGGCCTATGTATAGCTCCCTTAATTTACACATAAACTGACCTAAAACTGCACTGCACATATAATAAACCAATTCCCATTGAAATAAAGGTGAAGCCGTACCGCATAATTATATGATTTGATGAAACCCAACTGCTACCTGAAGTTTCTCGCCTATCGAAGTTATAATATCCGCCGGTGTCATGGCGGCTCGCACATCATAAGAATCATTGCTTTGAAAATGTAGAATGCATTAACACAAAGAAAAACTGATCGGTAACTAGTTTAGTGGTCCAGTCTTCACTATAATTTGTGACAGAATTACTTATTAAAAAAAAACTGAATGATGTAAAAATAAAAATGGTTGGAGTGCCCAAGTTTAGATTTGTCGTTGATTTCATAAACATGTTAGGATATAAAACGTTAAATACTGTGGCCTATTCACCTTCGGTTATGTGTCAATGTCAAATAAGCGGCTTCTTATCAACACGATCGGCTCTGGGCCAGTTTAATTCTACGTATCTCTCGTAGCTGAGAGAAGACAGATTTTTTAGCTGAGAGAATATCTTCCGTCAAAGTGATTGTTGATTCATAGATTCTAATAACCCCTTTTGCAGTTTATATGAAAGCTTTGATATCTGCTATGCAGATCTAGTTATTATTATTATTATTACAGCATATTTATAGTGCGCCCTTTCATATAACATGTTCAGGGGCACTTTACAAAGTGACAATGTAATCATAAATAAACATCAAGATTATGGATATGTTAACGATTGTATACAGAGTCAGTTAAAAGCCTGATTAAATAAATGTGTTTTAAAGTTGTTTTTTAAAATACAGAGATGTACAACATCTTAAACTAAATGGTAGATTATTCCATAAAATAGGTGCTTGATAACTAAAAGAGCGCTGACCATAAGAGACTAGTTGAACAGTTTTGGGCTTTAAAAGTAGTTTATCTGATGTACGTAATGTTCGGCCAGATATATAAAGTTCTAAAAGATCTGAGAGGTAAACAGGAGCTAAATTATTTAAACTTTTAAAAGTAAGTAATAAAATCTTAAAATCAATTCGATATTTAACAGGTAACCCGTGTAAATTATATAAAACAGGAGTTATGTGGTCCCATTTCTTAGTTAAAGTTACAAATCTAGCTGCAGTATTCTGTACTTCTTGTAATTTATCTTTAAGCTTTAAAGGTGAACCAACTAAAAGTGAATTAAAGTTATCTAATTGAGAAGTGACCAGAGAATTAACAAGTGACTTAATTAGTGGCCTCTACAGTTACACATTTACATATTTTACCTATATTTCTGATATTAAAATAGCACAATTTGCAAATTTTATTTACTTGAGCTCCCATTAGCATAAAACTATCAAAGATTGCGCCAATATTACGAGCAGAATAAGATGAAAATATATCACAATTACCAATTACAACAGGGGGGTTATCATGTGCAAATTTACTTAATTGATGCCTTGAGCCTAATAACAAATATTAGGTTTTATCATCATTCAATTTTAGAAAGTTCTTTGACATCCATTTTCTAATTTCACTAATACAGTTCTCAAGTTGCAATTTTGATAAATTGAAAGAAGATTGACAATTAGGTGTAAATGAAATATATAATTGAATATCATCGGCATACAAATGAAGACTGAGAGCATATTTTTTGACAATATCGCCTACTGATATATATGTTTCTATTCCTTTTA